ATCTGACAGGATCAGGGTCTGACAGGATCAGGATCTGACAGGATCTGGATCTGGTTATCTTTAGAGGACAGGGTCAGGATCTGACAGGATCAGGGTCTGACAGGATCAGGATCTGACAGGATCTGGATCTGGTTATCTTTAGAGGACAGGGTCAGGATCTGACAGGATCAGGGTCTGACAGGATCAGGATCTGACAGGATCTGGATCTGGTGTTTTTAGAGGACAGGGTCAGGATCTGACAGGGTCAGGGTCTGACAGGATCAGGGTCTGACTGGGTCAGAGTCTGACTGGGTCAGAGTCTGACTGGGTCAGAGTCTGACAGGATCAGGATCTGACAGGATCAGGATCTGACAGGATCTTGATCTGGTGTTTTTAGAGGACAGGGTCAGGATCTGACAGGGTCAGGATCTGACAGGATCAGGGTCTGACAGGATCAGGGTCTGACAGGATCTGGATCTGGTGTTTTTAGAGGACAGGGTCAGGATCTGACAGGATCTGGATCTGGTGTTTTTAGAGGACAGGGTCAGGATCTGACAGGATCAGGATCTGGATCTGGTGTTTTTAGAGGACAGGGTCAGGATCTGACAGGATCAGGATCTGACAGGATCAGGGTCTGACAGGATCAGGATCTGACAGGATCAGGATCTGGTGATTTTAGAGGACAGGGTCAGGATCTGACAGGATCAGGATCTGACAGGATCAGGATCAGGATCTGACAGGATCAGGATCTGACAGGATCAGGATCAGGATCTGACAGGATCAGGATCAGGATCTGGTGTTTTCTCTTGTTTCAGCTCAGACGCTGTACAAACAGGTTTCTCAGACTGCCTTCATGTCTCAACTAGTTTCTGCTTTTTTCTTTCTTTTCTTCTTTTCAAACATTCACTTCCCCTCCTCTCCTGTGCCTGTTTCAGATCCGCTAAACCAGGGCTATTCAACTGGTGGCCCGTGGGCCACATCTGGCCCACAAGTGACCAAAGTTCGGCCTCTAATTTGTTCTTTCATCTCTTCAGCCCAAACCCCTGGTTTTCTACTTTAATTCCTCTGAGTTGTTTTAGTTAAACAGACATGTTTGTTTCTACAGAAACTTCAGTATCTTGGCTACAAGTTGGTAAAAACATTTCTATAAACATTCAAGACAGTTAAAACTACAAGTAGTTTAAGTTAAAACTATGAAAGTGAAAATAAAATTTAGTAAGTCAGATGTCAAAATATTATTTGTGGTAAATAAGAGGTATAATGTGTTATTTTTGTTTTTGTTTTATTATCATTACTTTTAGATATTATCAGTCCAATATTAGCATAAAAATGTAAAATCTCTACATATTCTGATAAAAGTTCGATAAATTAACGCCTGGATTTGACCAGAATGTGTTAATAAATTCTTGTGGTCCAGAGACGTTCACCGGTGTGCAACTGATGACATCATCAAACTGGATTATCTCTGGGGGAGCATGATCCAAACTATTGTTTGAGACGAAATGTTAAAAATAAATAGAGTAATTTCCCCCTAACTTGAGTTAAATGGTTTTTATTATTGTACAGACAATGTTTACCTATGGATGCATCCAGTTGGGTATCAAAAAAGCAGGTAATGTCCCTGACAGGAGATATGTGATGTCACCTTAATATCAGTTTGTAATATTAGTTTAATATCAGAAATTAAGTGTTGAACTATATCGACAAAAAATCAATATCAAGCATCTCTATTTTTATTACATAGGGTTCTGTATGTTGTATTTATGATTAAATACAGTAAAATAAATTATTTCAAAGGTAACAGATCTTTGTAAAACTTGGTTTATTTACAGAGTGACTTTAACTGCTGGATGTTTGGCTCCTGTCTTGTAGATCTGCTGATCTTTGTTGGTCCACCCATCTTCATTCCCATCTCGTTGAACCATCTCTGCTTCCTGCAGGATTCCTGCATGTTTTGTGCACGCTCTAAACAGACCATTAACTGTGTGTTCATGCTGTGTCATGTCTGACCTGTCTTCTGCACAGTGTGGAGGTTTATTTATCAGTCTCTGTCTCCTCTCTGCCCTCACCTCCCAGGCATCGACTTTAAAGTTAAAACCATCGACGTGGACGGCAAGAAAGTGAAACTACAAGTGTGGTGAGAAGCCTCAGCCCAACCCTTCTGTGGAAACAGTTTGAAATACGATGGAGCAGATAATCCGGAGTTCAGGGGGATGATGCGGTCCTGTCTCACAGCTTTGAAATTAAACAGCCAAATTATTCACCAAACAGATCAAAACTAGTAAAGATAAATGGTTTAAATGGGATTTTGCCAGAAGATGAGAGAACCCAGCCTTGTTTGGAGGTCTGTGGATCAGACACACCTCTCAGGAGAAACATGATTCAAAGGTTGAGCACGTCACAAAAAGTTTGACTTTACATGTCTGAACTGGCATTTTGATATCTTTGATGGTTTGTGTAGCTCACCATCATCAGTGTGTGAATGTGTGTGTGAATGTGTGTGACCAGTGGTGGAGAAAGTACTCAAACACTGTACTTAAAAGTACAGATAAACAGACAAGAATGTACTCTAGTAAAAGTAAAATTACCACATGAACATTTTACTTGAGTAAAAGTAAGCACTTGCTTTTAAAAATACTTAAAGTATTAAAAGTAAAAGTACTTGCTTAATGTATTCCCTAATAGTCTACAATATCATGAAGTGTGCCTACTGAATGTGTATTTTAATACATCAATGGTGCCATTTTAGTGAACAATGCTGCAGATGATGTGTAGTTTTGTGTTCACACACTGTGACACTGTTCACACTTGGACTTGTGAGTCTGTGCATCATCACATATTGTGACAACAGCTGCAGMAGATGTAAATTCACCACCAACCTCCTCTATCAAATCTCAACAAGTCATTTTTGAACCAGTTAAATAAGACCATGAATGGCACATTTCCTCTGTGGTGGAAACCATTTCTTCCTGCTCCCACAACATTTTATAAACATACAGCACATTATCCAAATATCAGTGGTGAGCACAGGTAACTAAAAATGTTCACTAACTCGTATTCCGCTAACTGAAAATATAGCTTTGCTAATCCTGAACCACTAAACATGTAGCCAGTGGTGGGCACAGTTCCCCTAAAGCACTAATATGGGAACTAATTTCCTGATTAGTGATTTAGAGCTTTTGCTAATTTTAAAATTTATTAGTGGATTAGGACTTGCTAAATTTAGAAGCACTAACTGAGGTCTATAAATGTTATTGATCAACATTAATGTCAACAGCTGAGGGTGAAAACTGACACACATTTTGTTCACATGTGTCACTGATCCACCAGGTGACAATATATTAACAATATATGAATCAAATCCAGCTGTGGAGTCAGTGATGAGTATTAAGAGAGCAACATGTGACTCATGTTGTCAAAGAATGTTCATGGGTTGACTGGATTATTGTAGTGCTTTACAATTAGCTTTTGCTAAAACTTTCAGTGCATTAGTGCTTTAGACTTAGAGGACCTAAATAATTGTGAGATCGCTAATTCATAATCATGAGATACTATCTCATATGAGATAGTGAGATAGTGAGATAGTATCTCATAATTATGAGATAGTATCTCATATGAGATAGTGAGATAGTATCTCATAATTATGAGATAGCTAAGTCATAATTATGAGATACAAGTTTTATTTATTTTTTATCAGGGTGGCGGAAATGGGCTTCCGTAGAAAATTCTAAATTTTAAAGGCGTTTAAACAAATCAGGTTTTTTGTTGCAACTGCTCAAAAATGTTTGAAAAAAATTTTTTAGTATTATATTTCAGACTGTTCATTCAAATGATACATTGATAAGGCATTAATTCATAATATTTTGACAAAATGCAATTTGTGCACACGTTTAAATCTAAACCCTGTATCTGCCTGTTTCTCCATTTTTGGACTTGATCCTCGTTTTGATGTGACGGGTCACATATAACAAAGTAGATCCATAAAATATCACATATGATCGTCAGAGTTTTCATGAGGTTTTTAAAACCTAAATGAATGTTTTTACACAGCGACTGTGCGAGACGTAACTTCCTGTCAGTTTCACTCATTAACTCAGCAGTCAGGGAGAAACGAATGAGCTGATGAGATACTGGCCACGGATTTAACATTTCTTTTTGAACATCCTGCTTCTTTTTACCCTCGTTAACTGTTTTTACATCAAAATGTGCATTTTTAGAGATCTGTGTTTTATCAGCAGGACGATCTGTTGGACCGTGAGGTCCACATTAATCTTGCGTCTTTGTAAAGCTTCACTTCCTGTTTCAGACTTTCCTTGCAACAAATGCGTTGATGTACATTTTTGTCTGTCTTGTTTAGGGACACAGCGGGACAGGAGAGGTTCAAGACCATCACCACGGCGTATTACAGAGGAGCCATGGTGAGAGCGTGAGCTCACCAGTCAAACGTCATCTCCTTCCTCCCATCTGAAGGGGTTTGTCTCTCCTCTCTGTGTTTCAGGGCATCATCCTGGTGTACGACATCACTGATGACAAGTCCTTCGAAAACATCCAGAACTGGATGAAGAGCATCAAAGAAGTGAGGCCATTTGGATTTTGCCCTTACAAAGAACTAACTAGGTCTTCCTAATCTTAAAAAAATAATGAAAAAGTTTATTTTTAACCATAAATGTGAACATTTTGATGTTTTATAAATGCTTCAACTTGTCACAACATTTAGACTGTTTCAGTCAACTGTCTACAGGTGATAAAAGAAAATAAATGATCCAAACAAACAAAAGCTAAAACAAGCTAAAATAGTGTCGACAGGTTGCTGTTTTTATGCTTTTAAGAAGCGATTAACGACGCAAGAACTGCTCCTTGAGATGTCAAATAAGAGGCAGAATGTGTTCTTTTTGTTTTTGTTAATTATCACTACTTATAGGGTTCTGTTTGTTGTTTTCATGATTAAATGCAGCAAAATAAACTATTTCAAAGGTAACAGATCTTTATAAAACTTGGTTTATTTACATAATGACTTTCATTGCTGGATGTTCGGCCCCTCAGCTGTTGACCTGCAGTAACTGTGGCCCCTGGAGTGATTTAGTTGAATAGTCCTGATCTAAAGCACAAAGGAGAGATTTAGGACAGCAATTAGCACATTTGCACTTTAGTGGACTGGTGCCCACCACTGCTTGTCACAGATACTTAATTGTTCCATTTAATGAACGACACACTTGTTTCCCAGAATGCATCAGCCGGGGTCAGCCGGATGCTGTTAGGTAACAAGTGCGACATTGAGGCGAAGCGGAAGGTTTCCAAAGAAACGGGAGAAAAGGTGAGTTGATCCGTCTTGATTTTGTTACTCTGGGTTGAAGCTGCACTAAAACAAATAAAGTTCAATTTTATTTATATATCTCCAAGTCCCAACATACGTTGTCTCAGCTGTACATAAAAAGAACAATGTAAAGAAGAAAGCAGCAGATTGTGTTGAATCACTTCATCACAGTCTCCCATCCTGAGCAAACGGTGGAGAGGAAAAACTCCCTGCTGATCAGGAAGAAACCTCCAGCAGAACCAGGCTCAGGACAGGAGACCATCTGCCTCGATAAAATAAAATAATAAAAAAATAATCGTGATGTGAGACTTTACTTTGAAAGGAGGAGGAAGGAGGTGTTTGTGGACAGTTGATGTGGTTTCAGTTGTTTCTCTTTGCTTTAGATAAGGAGCAGGATGTGATCATGTGCCTCTGGGTTTGTTTGTTGACAGCTGGCGAAGGATCATGGGATCAGCTTCTTTGAGACCAGCGCAAAGTCCAGCATCAACGTGGAGGAGGTGAGCCGTGCCGGAGCCGCCGTAAGGTCGGACCTCATTCAGCTCCAGGCTCGTCTTATCAGAGTTGTGTTTGTGGTAACTCCCATTCCTTTCTTCTTTTGTGTTCATGTCCTCTGCTCTGCAGTCATTTCAAGCTTTGGCGCAGGAGATCCTACAGAAATCCAGTAAGAAGTCGGTACGTAAGAAATGAATTTGACCAAAACGTTTGTAAAACAGAAGGTTGGACCTGTTTCTGGTATTTTCCTAACTTCTTCTTCTGTCTTGATTGTCCTTGTTGTTCAGAGCCCGACAGGAAAGGAGGTGAAAATCACCAGCAGTGCAGAGAAAAAGCCTTCAAAGTGCGTCGTTCTTTAGGTCTGATCTGTGTGAGAAACTCCAGAAACGAAATCAAGAAAAAACAAAAGTTTTTTGTCTCCATCTGGTGGATCAAGATGTCAAACACATCCAGGTGTTCAGTCTGCTTCGAAACCAAAACTCTACTTCGTTTTTATAAGTTCGGAACAAAAACTATGATGCACCCAAATTAATTTATCACTTTGTGATCGTGCGTGCTTCAAATTGAGCAGTTTTTATGATTAATTGTAATTACAACAACAAAAATGTCCTGAAATTGTTTCAGACTTACTAAAACTCTATCTTTAAACAGCCACATCTGCCTGCTTTCAGAATTTTGTTACCATTTCTCATGCAGTAGCAGCTTAAAGCAGATTACAGGAGGTTTATTTTATAATTGCAGTGTTTTCGATGTATGCTAAGCAGGTCCGGCCCGTGGAATAGGCAGTATAGGCAAACGCTAAGGGCACCGTCCATCTAGGGGGCGACAAAAATGCGGGACAAAATAAAATACTTTATAACTTTTTATCAGAGTTTATTTGATTTTTAGTAAAATGTGCTTCTCGTAGTTTTGAGTAGATATTTTACAAAATTTTCAGGGTAGTATACCCCTGGACCCCCCTAGAACTGCTTCACTTCACTGTAGACTTTTGTTTCAAATTTACATGTTAAAAGTAAAATATAACATCAAAGACAAAATGATTTAACTTGTGAATTTATGTAGGGGCACTACCTGAAATCCTGCCTAGGACCAACCCTGATGAGATCCCAGGGCTGTATCACCTCCGACACTTGTATGATATTTGAAATGTTGCAGGAAATCACTACAGTTCAGATATCATTGATAAAGGCCCAGTCACACTATAACCGTGTTTCCATCAAGACTTTTTGATGCACATTCAGAAGTGTTGCATTAAAAATGCAAAAAAAAAAATCGTATGGAAACAGCAAAATTCGAAAAAAAAATCCTCAATTCGCTAAAAAGTTTTTACGCTTGCTTGAGGTAGATTTTGGATGATTCGCAAAGTAGTTAATGCGCAAAACGGGAGATGGAAACACGTTTGCCGAATAAATTCTGACGTAGCGCATATTTACCTCACGTGACGTTCAGCTGTTTCTGCTTTCCTGCCTTGTCCCGGATGTTATCATAAACGCACAAAAACATGGCTGTGAACAACAACAACAACAACAACAGGTACATGTGGACTGACGAAGAGASGAGAACATTTCTCTCTTTAATTAGCGAAAGAAACGTTACAGCCATTTTAGATGGAAAACAGCAACGTAACCCTAAAATATAAAAATCGCTCCATTTTCCCGAGATGATTAGCCTCTGCTAGTTAGCAAGTTTCTCTTCCTGTTTACTACCGCAAAGCTTGTCGCCGACGTCTGACATAATCACGCGTTGCGTAGCCTCGTCTGAAGTAATCACGCGTTGCGTAGACTCGTCTGAAGTAATCACGCGTTGCGTAGCCTCGTCTNCGTCTGATGTAACCACGCGTTGCGTAGCCTCGTCTGACGTAACCACGCGTTGCGTAGCCTCGTCTGACGTAACCACGCGTTGCGTAGCCTCGTCTGACGTAACCACGCGTTGCGTAGCCTCGTCTGATGTAATCACGCGTTGCGTAGCCTCGTCTGACGTAATCACGCGTTGCGTAGCCTCGTCTGATGTAATCACGCGTTGCGTAGCCTCGTCTGACGTAATCATATGTTGCATAGCCTCGTTTAGTTGCATCAAACAGCCGAGAGGGAAACTAGATGGAAACAGTCTAGATTTGAATTTTTATTTATTTAATTTTTTGTGAATTTTTAAAAAGTTTGATAAAAATTCACTCTAAAACTGAATCGAAACACGATTTATGACATTTTAGACAACTTATGCCAACTTATGAACATTTTAAAGACATTTACTTTGAAGATGGAATTGAAAAAAATCACCTGGAAGCTTCTTTTAGGCGTGTACATACTGTAATTCTAACGAATTGACCAAATATACAAGTTTTATTTGCAATTTAGACGTAAAAAATGTTTTGTAAGTTGGCATAAGTTGTGTAGTGTGACAGGGCCTTAAGTGAGGCACCTTTCATTCACAAATGTGTTTCATTGTAAATTACTCCACAAACATTTAATGTCAGCCTTTTATATTCTGTACAAATATTTCAAACGTGTCCTGCAGATAACCCCATTCTCTGGAAGACACGATGCTGAGTTTACAGCTCGAGGAAGTTTCAAAAATGTCTCTTGATTTAACGAGCAGAAGGAATCGTCCCTCAGTGGGATCTAATAGAAACTTTGTGGTCGACAAGCCTGTTTTTTTATCGACGAACTGATGGAGGAGAAAGATGAGTGAAACACGAGAAGCTGAGAGGAGCGAGGGGAGAAGGAAGGATGGGTAAAATAATAAATGAGCTGAAACACGTCCCCTCAGTCTGAAATGATCTACTCTGGGTTGTTGTTTTTTACTAAAGTGCCTTAAAAACCAGATCTGACAGGAGTTTTTTATTCAAACAATTCAAAAAGATTCAGATATTGATTTAGTTCTGAATATTTGGTTTTTTGCACACAGACCTCTTTTTGTTTACTTTCTTTTTTTATTCTGAAGCAGCCAAAAACATGGAAGTACTGTAGTTTAAAGAGCTGATGCTTGATGGATGTACAGTAAAGATAAAATGTTTTTTTCTAAATGCACAATTTAATAAAACAAACTTTCCAACACAAACGATAGTATCTCGTAGCTCCTGTTCTGCTGTTTGTTTTAGGATTTTATCTACTGTTGTACTGATTTTAGCTTTTACCTACTGCTCTGCTGCTTTACAGTTCTGTGTTTGCTACCTCTTAGCTACTGTTCTGTTATATTTTACTTTCTGTTTTGCTCAGTTTAGCATTTAGCTACTTTTTTGCTTATTTTAGCTTTGATCTATTCTACTAGTTTTGGCCTTTTAGCTACAGTTCTGCTAATTTTTGTTGCTTGCTTTTGCTAATTTTAGCCCTTAACTACTGTTGTTATTTTTTTACTTGCCGTTTTGCTCATTTTAGCATTTAGCTACTTTTTTTTGCTTATTTTAGCTTTGATGTATTCTGCTAGTTTTAGATTTTAGCTACAGTTCTGTTCAATTCTGTTGCTAGCTTTTGCTAATTTTAGCCCTTAGCTATTGTTCTGTTATTTTTTTACTTGCCGTTTTGCTCATTTTAGCATTTAGCTACTTATTTGCTTATTTTAGCTTTGATCTCTTCTGCTATTTTTCATTTTTAGCGACAGTTCTGCTAATTTTTATTGCTTTTCTTTTGTTAATTTTAGCTCTTAGCTACTGTTTTTAATTTTTACTTGCTGTTTTGCTCATTTTAGCATTTAGCTACTTTTTGCTTATTTTAGCTTTGATATATTCTGCTAGCTTTAGCTTTTTAGCTACAGTTCTGTTCATTTTTGTTGCTAGCTTTTGCTAATTTTAGTCCTTAGCCCTTTTTTTACTTGCCGTTTTGCTCATTTTAGCATTTAGCTACTTTTTTACTTATTTTAGCTTTGATATACTATTCTGCTAGTTTTAGCTTTTTAGCTACAGTTCTGTTCAATTTTATTGATAGCTTTTGCTAATTTTAGCTCTTAGCTACTGTTCTGTTTTCTTTATTTACTGTTTTGTTTTGTTTTTTTAGCTACAGTTCTGGTAATTTTAGTTTCTAGCTGTTGAATTTTTTAGCTCTTTCAGCTTTTCAACTACAGAAGTGCTAATTTTAGCTTCTAGCTTTTGCTTAACTTAGCTTCTTAGCAACAGTACATAGTAGCTTTTAGCTGCTGTTGTGCTGCTTTATGGAATGTATAAAGATAAACTTGTAGGAGTTTGTCGTGTTTCAACAGTTTCTTGCATTTTTTTAGCTGATTTAGCAGAAAATAATTTTGCTTTAAAGGAAAACGGCAGAATTCCTGTGAAAAAGTGAAATAATCTTAAAGAGCTGGAATAAGCCTGACATTTACTTTGATCGTGTTTAAATGAAACTTTGGAGTCGGATGTTGAAGACAGGAACCGGAAGAGGAACCTCTCTCTCTCTGCGGCAGCAGGAGCCGGAGCTTGTTGCTAGGCGACCGACCCCTCCTCCGCAGCATCAGCACCAGAGCTCGTGTGCGCGCGCAAACTGCCGCATCCCCGCGCTGCCTCGCACGTTCCTGCGTGCGCTGTCATCACGCAGGGCAGGTGCTGGATTTTCAGTCAGGAGGGACGCAGGAGGAAAAAAACATCAGAAACACATCCTGGACGGATTATTTCCTGACGGGAGGGGAAACGGACTCACACACACACACGGGCTGAACCGGGCCTGCGTGGCTGCAGGGAGGGAGGGTGGGAGGAGGGGGTCTCGGTGGTGGAGCTGTCAAAGAGGAAAAACACGAGGAGGGGCTCCGTCCAGCACGCCCTGCTCATTTCTTATTCAAATATTTTATTTTTTCTCTCTCCGGTTCTCCGAGGCTCGGGCTGCTCTGCTCCTCCGGTCTCCGGGTCCTGACGGGGGGACAGCAGAAGAAGGTCACATGTACGGACGCGCAGCTGAAGAAGTGACCTCCGCAGGGAGGGGGTGAGATCAGCCAGAGATCAGCTGCTCTGTGGGAGGTTTTTTATTTTATTTATTCTTTAATCCGCGGCCTTGCTCAGGTCTCCGGTTACCGCAATGCCTCACGGCCTGGAGGAGGAAGAGCTGGGGGAGGAAGGCAATAAGATGAGGATTTAAAAGGTAAGTTAAGAAAACTAAACCTGGTCCAGGTCTGGGTTTGGATGGGACCGGTCGGCACAAAGTGTACTCTCTGAGCTCCAGGAGTGATGGGGGGGCTCTGACTCAAGCAGCGTCGGTGTGATGGCTAAAATGTCAAATGGGGTGAGTAGGGAGGCTTTCTGCTGACAAAGTTCTTGGACTCTGACTGGACCGGACTGCTGCAGCACCACCATGGGACAGGACTGCGCAGGAACTCTAACACCGGCCGGCGGGGAGTTTGGTGCATGAGCTGATTTCCCTCCTCTGCTCTGCTCTGCTTCTGCCCACATACACTTGTTTTAAAGTGGAGAACATCCTCCTCATCATCATCTTCCTCACACACACACACACACACACACACAGAAACATGCCCTCGCCCTCAGACTCCAGCAGCGTGGCCTCGGGCTCTCGCGGTTGGTCCGACAGCCGCAGAGGCATGTCGGGCAGGGGGCCCGGCGGGGCCCGGCTGCTCCTGTACCTGGGTCTGTGCCACCTGGGCCTGGGAGCCATGGTCCTGGGCTTCTCCTTCACCAGCATGGCCTTCACCTCCTCTGCTCGGGTCAGGCAGTCCTGTCCATTCTGGGCCGGCTTCTTTGTGAGTCTGACTGAAAAATGTTCAAATTCAGATGAAGAAGCGTGAAGATCTGCGCTAAGATTTGTGTGTTTTTGTGTGTTTTTATGTGTTTTCAGGTGGTGGCGTCGGGGATAGTCGGGATAATCTCATGGAGGAGACCTTTGACCCTGGTGGTAGGTTCACAGTTCTAGTTGTACCCACTTATAAAAGTGCCCACATTGGGGCCTGCGGGCCAAAATTGGCCGGCCAAGCCTTTTAATTTGGCCCACTAGCAGATTTTCATATTTTACCAGAGGTTCACAAACTGTTTGAGTCTGGGGACCCCCTAACGACCTAGATAGATAGATGGATAGATACTTACGTACTTACTTACTTACTTACGTACTTACTTACTTACTTAGTTACTTACTTACATACTTACGTACTTACATACATACTTACTTACGTACTTACACTAGTTACTTTACAGACTGTAGACAGTACACAAAACAAAATGAACACTGACTAGCCATGATATGACTACTACTAATAAAAATATAATATAAAGAATTGTGCAAAAATAAAAAAGATCTGTTTTGTATGTGAATGTTTGTAAATTGGAAGTGAGGTTGCAGAAGAGGGACCACAGGCACGTATGAGTTATGTGACTCATCTTACAGGTTTTGGTCTTAAAGGGATCCCCGATTAGTTGTAAGATTAGACTTTTTAAAAAAACATATTTTAACTGTAAAATAAAGACTGTAAAAATACTGTAGGATGTTTAGTTTTTATAATTTTTAAACTAAAATTTTAGAATGTAATACACGGACGGGGCCATTTTATTTGCACACAAAGCATTCTGGGTAAATGATGACGTGGATAGGTCCTCAGTGCGAGGCTGCTAGCGAGCTATATCCACCCTGAAGGTTAATCTTGGACAATATCTGATGATCGACTCTTTTAAATGAAACCAGAGAGCGTTGACAGAGAGGAGAAGGTAGAAATGACTCAGCCTGGAACTGAAAATATGGATGGAGGACAACAGAGCTGCTTCATGGAAGAAGAACCTCAGCTTAGCCTGTTAGCTTTAGCATTAGCACTGACGTTAACACCATATACTGTATATGTATTAGCTCAGCGCTACACATTCTCCTCTCATCACTGAGGTCCTCCATCCACATGACAGAGAGGGGAACACAAAAATGACTCAGCCTGTAACTGAAAATATGGATGGAGGACCTCAGTTTAGCTTGTTTGTCGCGCTAGCACAAAAGCTAACAGTCTAAGCTGAGGTTGTTCTTCCATGAAGCAGCTCTGTTGTCCTCCATCCATATTTTCAGTTCCAGGCTGAGTCATTTCTACCTTCTCCTCTCTGTCAACGCTCTCTGGTTTCATTTAAAAGAGTCGATCATCAGATATTGTCCAAGATTAACCTTCAGGGTGGATATAGCTCGCTAGCAGCCTCGCACCGAGGACCTATCCACGTCATCATTTACCCAGAATGCTTTGTGTGGAAATAAAATGGCTCCGTCCGTATAATATATTTAAAAAAAATGTACAAAACTAAACATCCTACAGTATTTTTACAGTCTTTATTTTACAGTTAAAATAAATGTTTATCAAATAAAGTCTAATGTTACAACTAATCAGGGATCCCTTTAATAGGTTTTTTCCTGACGTTTTTGCCAATAATTTCTTCACTTATTAAATTTCCGTCCTCTGTCCTTCCCTGCTGTCCTCGTCTGTTTTTAATCGGGTGTCGTCTCCAAACCCTCTCCACAGGTGTCTCTGTTCATGCTGCTGTCGGCGGTGTGTGTGATCCTCAGCCTGGCCGGCTCCATGCTCTCCTGTCAGAACGCACAGATGGTCAAGTCTATGCTCACCTGCCAGGTACGCCATCTTTGTTCCACCTGAGTGCTGACACGTCCTTCTGGGTGGGGAAGACGTGCCAGGAATACTTTGGAAAGTGTTGCAGAAAAGTGCTTTGTAATAAATGTGTGTGTGTGCAGGTGGACAACGGCCTGTGTGTGTGCTGTGCACCCACTCACCCCTGCTCCATCGAGGCGGAGGACACGCTGGTCCTCTACCTGAATGTGGACTGCCACTCAGTCAGACATCATCTAAAAGTAGGTGGAAGATCTCCTTTTTTCTGCAATAAACAAAACAAAAAGTTCAAATCTTTGTAAAACTCTTGATTCTCTGTGCAGGACCTTTTATTCAGCGCGTGTGGTCTCAGCATCCTGTCCACCATCATCTGCACGCTGTCCACTGTGACCTGCAGTATTCACATCTTCTCCCTGGACCTCGTGCACCTGGTGAGCCCAGACAGCACTTTACATTAAAGTGGATGTGTTTTTTTTTTTTAATGAAAGTTTGCTTCTGATTGGCTACAGAGCTGCAGTGAGAAATTAGGACATACCATACTGAGCAAAAGTTTTTAACCACCCTCAATTTTCAAATATCTTGCTTCCAGGATGCCAGAATAGATATTTTTACAGTTACTAGTACTTTGGCTGCTGTTGCTAGCTTTCTGTCTAGTGCTTGTACCTGATCATGACAGCATATTGAAAACAAGAAATGTGTTTATTATCTCCATTCATCTGTCTTTTACCACTTATCCAATGGTAGGGTCATGGACCAGACCCAGAGGTGTTGTCAGGGCATAGATCAGGACTATTCAACTAAATCACTCCAGGGGCCACAGTTACTGCAGGTCAACAGCTGAGGGGCCAAACATCCAGCAATTAAAGTCATTATAAGACAAGACAAGACAAAACTTTATTGATCCCACAGTGGGGAAATTGGAACATTACAGCAGCTCAAAACAGTGGAGCTGCAGTAACAGGCTGCCTACTGTGGCGCCATCTTGGAAACAGAAGACCACACAAGGGAAGATGAGGAAAAGAACAAAAACATCATATTATATCAACACTGTGACACACTATGGTGTTTATGAAAAAAACTCTGCATAGGGCAAATTATTAGCCAGAGGAGTAAGTGAGTTTAGGGGCCCCGAAGAATCCAGTCCCCTAAACCAGCGCAGCTATAGTTCAGAATATTGATGGTACTGTTCATTCTGTGAGGCCTCATCCTGCCCAGGAAACCAGATCAAACGGGTGATCTGACCACAAAGTCCAGGGACCACAGCCGGCCTGCGACACTCAATAGAACCGCTTGCAGACTGAGTCCAGCTCGCTCAAAGCCCAATGTCTGAGTGCTGATAGTATACGGCCATCCATCAAATTTGTCAGGCAGCCAGGAGATGAAAATGCTGTTTTGTAGACCTCCAGGAGACCACCAAGCCAGTCTGTAGAATCCAGTGATCGAAGTCCAGATATGTAGAAGCTGGTAAAAACATTTCTATAAACACTCAAGACAGTTAAAACCACAAACAGTTGAAGATAAAAATATGAAAGTGAAAACAAAATTGGTTGAAAAATTTGGCAATTCAGAGATGTCAGAATATTATTTGTGGTAAATATGAGGGATAATATGTTATTTTTGTTTAATTATCACTACTTTTATAGGGTTCTATGTTGTATTTATGATTAAATGCAGCAAAATAAACAATTTCAAAGGTAACAGATCTTTGTAATACTTAGTTTATTTAATGAATAACTTTAATTGCTGGATGTTCGGCCCCTCAGCTGTTGACCTGCAGTAACTGTGGCCTCTGGAGTGTGTATGTTACAGACTTTATACAAACCAGTCACATTTATGTCTCCTGTGGTTTGTGCAGTTGGCTCCACATCGCTCTCGGTCCGTCAACCCAGAATGCACCACTCCTCAGGACGCCTTCCTGACCAACATCATGGACTTTGAGGAGTTTGTTCCCCCCATCCCTCCACCGCCCTACTACCCTCCTGAATACACCTGCAGCTCCGAGACAGATGCTCAGAGGTACAAACAGAAACTTTATCTGCACAGATTTCAGCTGCAGACTTTACAGAAAAAAAACATCACCTCTGAACTGAAAATGACAAACGTTTGTATCGACACGCAGCATCACCTATAACGGCTCAATGGAGAGCCCGGTTCCTTTGTACCCCACTGACTGCCCCCCTCCTTATGAAGCTGTGATGGGCCAGAGAGCTGCCAGCCAGGTGAGCACCCAGAAGTTTCAGCCTCAGTTAGAATAGAATAGAATAGAATAGAATAGAATAGAATAGAATAGAATAGAATAGAATAGAATAGAATAGAACAGAATAGAAATAGCCTTTATTGTCCCACCAAGGGAAAATTCAGGTGTCACAGCAGCATCAGTACAGAGGTTCACACGCTAATTTATAATCTATAGACAGTACACAAAAACTGAAATTACCACTAACTAGCAATGATACGACTACTACTAATAAAAATATAACAAAGGATTGTGCAAGAATAAAAAGATTTGTTTTGTTTTAGAGAGTAGACTATCAGAATTTGACATTAGGAATTAGAATTTACCTAATTTCAGTGCAAAACAATCTCAACAGACTATTAGCTGTAAAGTTTGACAGTGCAGACAAGAAACACAGATGTGCAGTTACAGCAGAATTAGTTTAAAGGTTAAAAAGGGTAATAACAGAGCAGGTGATTGCTCAGATTAGTAATGACAATGAATAATAGTACAAATGATTGTGCAGGCAGCAGGTGTGTGAACACTTATTGTGATTTTTGGGCACGGTGCTGGTCATAGAGTCTGACATCTGCTGGGAGGAAGGATCTGCGATAACGCTCCTTTGTGCACTTCGGTGTCCTTTACTGGGAAAATCTGAGTAAAACATGATTTGGTTCAAAAATCCCACATTTAGAAGTATTATATTTTAAACGATTGTTGCTCACTGTGACAATACAGGTGGTTAATTAAACTTTCCAAACTCTGAGATTAAAGAGAAAAATGTCAGAATTCTGAGATTAAAGTCAAATTACTGACTATAATCTTAGAATAATCTTTTTTGCACAGATACTAAAATTAACATCGGATTTTTCAATTTTATTACCTTGTTTTTCAGAATTCTCACTCTTCTTAAAATTCTGACTTTTTTCTTTAATCTCAGAATTCTTTTTCTATTTTTTCAGTGGCCCTAATCCTCTTCCGTATCATTCATAATTTGGTTCCCACTTTTCAACTTCTACTTTTGTCTGTTTTTCTGATATGAAAGCGATGATTTCTCAATAATGCTTATTGTTAAAAGAGATGATTTGAAGAGTTAGTATAAATAAATAATGACACTACTTACGACTGAACAAGCCATAAAGAAAAAATATATAAATAAATTAAAAAAATAAATAAAAATGGTAAAAAAATTCCATGTGGTCCTAAACTTTTCGGTGTCCTCAAATTTCTGCTTATATTAAAATAAAAACAAGCCAGAACTTTGGTTGAAATGTTGAAAATCAATATTTCATAACCATGCTGAGGACAGTTTTATTTAAAAGTCACACAATAACAGAAAGTGGCAGGTAAAGTTGCTCCACTCTGCAGTGTGTGTGTGTTGTAGTCATTAAACTGAAATCTGTTGTGATCATCAAGGCCACGGTGTTTGATGCCCACGGCACTGAGCTGTCTGGAGAAAGAGGAACATCTACAGCCTTCAGTGGAGAAGGTAAAAAAAAAACAAATTCACTTGTATTTGTTTTGTTTTTAAAGAGTCACTGAGTTGTATGGAGTGACATCTAGTGGCGTAACGTGCAAACTGCAACCCAACCATTACGTTCTCATGTTACATTGTAAATGTTATGCTCCACATCTACATCTATGTAGCCTGCGAGAGGACGTGGGATTTTTTTCTTTTGAGTTTTCTTTCAGTCTTTTTTGCGTTACCCCATAAAAGTTGTTCGTTATTGTTGTGTCTGCCGGATTATTAATAAATTCTCATGGACACCATTATACGAGAGATAAACACATCACAGTCACACATGGAGTTATACGCAGCCACAATATCACTGTCAACCTCCCCAGTTTGTGGTGAGCAGACATTTCAAAATAAAAGTCTCAGTCAGTAGTTAACTCAAAGCATTACAATTACCACGTGAACGGAAAATTATAAACCATAGTTATGAGTAAAATAATACAGAAATATTTACTTGTTCGTGTTTTCCCACATAATAATAAAAATAATAATGAAACACGGATGTTTTGTTTTTTATTTTAGTCTCCATGGACAGCGGGTCTCTGCTGATGTCAGAGATCGTGGACATACCCGACGACTCGTCGCCCTCTGAGGACTCCTGTTTGTTGGAGGTGGGGCTGAGGAACCAGGGTGACAGGTGCAACAGGACCACCAGCGACAGGGGCGACTTGAGTCTTCGCAGCTCTTTGACCCAAACGCCAGAGAGTCCCCTGGCAGGAGGGCCGAGAGCCAGGAGGTTCCTTCGAGGAGAACGCTCCAACTCCTGTTCGTCACCAAGCACAGCCTCCACCACGTACAGGTGAGTAAAACCACACGCTAACACAGTGTGTGTGTGTGTATGTGTGTGTGTGTGTGTGTGTGGGTGTATGTGTGTGTGTGTGTGTGTGT